AAAAAAAAAAAAAAAAAAAAAAAGAACATGAAAAGGTAACCTCATAAATACACCGAGAACAAAAACACCAAATCAAAGTCAACAAAGTTGGAGGGAAACTCACTATGTTGGAGTCCAACGGCTCTTGAAAGTCCAAGCAGTCTCTTTCACCAGCGCAGAGCTCCGACCACTTTCCAACTCATGAACCGTTTCCGCACTGTACAGGAGGCAGCCTCAGCCGGAGCTGTGAGGGCACAGGGGTCTGTCATTGTGAGGTCAGAGCAAGAAAAGAACAATGATGGCTTGGCTTAGATCACTGTTTTTCTTCACATTCTGTCCCCAAGAACAGGAAGGCTGCTCCGGTCAGTTGGACAGTAAGGGGCGTGAGGAGGCTGGTTACACCCAATTAGCATTCTCTGTATCTCCCATTGTTGTTGATTGCTTTTGCTCTTTTTATTCTTTTGTTTTTGGGGGGCCCACCACCCAGCTCCCAAATAATTACACACAATAGCTTATTCTTACTTTCAGTGCCTAGCCTTTTCTTATCTTTGAATTACCTTGTCTACCTTTGCCGCTATGCGCTCCTTTTTTTTTTTTTTTTAACCTCTGTGTGTCTTACTTTCACTCTTCCTCAGTGGCTGGGTAACTGGATAGCTGGCCCCTAGCATCCTCCTCTCCTTGTTCTCCTGCTCCTTCTTTTGTTCCTTTCTTATGATTTCTCCTTCTATTTATACTCTCTGCCTGACTGACCAACCTATCCTTTCTCCTGCCTTACTTTCAGCCATTAAAACCTTCATTAGCCCACCAGGTGTTTTAGACAGGCAAAGCATCACAGCTTCACAGAGATAAACAAATGCAACCTAAACAAAAGTCACACACCTGAAAATAATATTCTATAACACCCCGTGGCCTACCTTTTCCTTCTGGGGTTTATTTACCAGGTTTTCCACAACTTTGAAACATGGCCACATGCTAGGGATCAGTGTCCAAACACAGGATCGATCCTTCCTTGGGTATTACGCATCCAAACCCAATAGAAACCCTTTCCACTTTAACAATCATAGTAGGTGGAATCATTTGAATCATAACAGGCTCCGGATGTTGTCCTTCACTGGGTATGGACACTGTACTTGCTTTCTCTTGCTGTGAGAAAACATCATGACCAAAAGCTAATCGTCCCCCAGTTTCCTGTCTTCAATTCATCATAATCAAATTCTCTAACCTACCTTGTCTGACGATAGGTCATCAGACCCTCCTCGTTACAGAAGAATCCAGGAGGAAGGAACGTTGAGGAGAGGGTGAGGAGAATGTGGATATGCAGGCCTTGCTAGGTGCCCCTAGTCTGTGCACTCACAACCATGCCCAGGCAAAAAGCCAGAAGGATTGGCCGGAGTGCTTTTGCACAGTGGAACATGTGGGATCTTGATGTGAGCATAGAGCACAGAAGTTCTGTCCCTCTGTGCTGTCCTTGCGAAGTGGTGAATTTAAGGGCCCTCTAGATTCCGAGAGCTGCTGGCAGTAACCAATCAAACCCAAGCAGAGGAGTGTGGGAACCTCCATTTACAGCTGATTCATCAGAACCACAAGGAAAACAACCTAGGACTTGTAACTAGCATCGGAGCTGTGAGATTAATGGGGGCCCTTAGAAGTGTGCCTTCAACCTGTGTCACGGGATGGTGTCTCCAGGTTGACTATCTCACAACTGAATGAGAGGGCGTAGAGATGATTCTGCTACTGCGGGATTTTATACATGTTTGTAGCAAAAATTCCTTAAATGTTTTTAGGGTCCCAGAATCTCCCATGTTAGTTGTCTTGCCTGGACAATCCCCAAAGCCTCGAACAAGCATTCAGATGTCTGGTCTTGTCCCCCTTCAATCCATCCTACACACGGTCACCAGGAGTGTGTCAGAAGTGTAGAATCTGTTCATACCCTTCCCCTCTTAAACTCATTTAGTGGCTCGTGCTATGGGCTAAATTGTGCCCCTCCCAATGTGTGCACAGTCGTCCAACCCCAGTATCCTAGAATGAGTGAGTACTGAAGAGTGGGCACTAAAAGGATAACTAAGCTAAAAGAGGTCATCAGGGCGAGATTTTTTTTTTTCTTTCTGAAAGAGCAATCTGGGCTGGACAGATGGCTCAGCAGTAAAGAGGTCCCCTGCTCTTGTAGATGACTGCAGTTCTGTTGCCAGGCTCATGTTGGGGGGCTTCCACAGGTAACTCCAGCTGCCTTCCGACCTCTGTGAGTAACTGCACTTGTGTGCACACAAACACACATAATTTTAAATTAAAAAATAAATCTAAAATGTAAAATTAAAAAAAAAAAAAAAACTCTGTCCTTGCTTCTCTGCCAGAAACTGAAGTACACTTTTCGCCCTCGGTTGAGAGCATTTCGCTTCTGTGTGTGGCATCAGAGCTCCAGAGGGAGGCGGCCACCGTACGACAGCCCAACACATTCTCATTCTCTTCAACATCATCCCCAGACATTTTCTTCTAATTATGAAGAGCTTTCTTGCTAATTATTAAATCCATATGTATTTCAAGAGGAACTCTACCCTCGTTTGCTTCATTCACATTCAATCCATCATGGTTACTTTTTAGAAGCTATTTGATGTTCAAGAAGCCATTAGAACCCCCATAATGCTCGTTTCTGAATAAAAGGATGTGGGTAAAATTAAGCAAAACCAAATGTTAATAAAATCCTCAAAGAACAAACAGAAAGTTACTGAGAAAAGTTATGATGCACTGTTGGGGCTCCTCAGACTCCATCGAAGTCTGTGTGACTGGAGGGGCCTCACATCTTCATCCCATGTTTCCCCCTGCAGAGGGAGGCAGTGGAAAGAAGAGGAAAGGAATAATTTGGTGAGTGCAGCCATGTTTGGCATGCTGTGTTCCACAAATGTAAATCTGGCTGTTCTGAAAACCCTCGTGCTACAGAGCACCACAGCTGTTTATTACAATATCATAAAAGCACTATTTTAGGTGCACACTGAACTCTTAATAAAGCAGAAGTCCAGGTTATTTCAGTCTGACTTTCTCGTTCTCTGTCCAAGGATGAAAAAAATAGAGGTTCCTAAAACTGGAGGAGAAACACCAACTAGATGGGTGAGGAACTGGAGGACATTGGTTATGCAGTAATAGAGGACCTGACGCTTATATTTTAAAAATAGTCATAGTATAAATAAAATGTATTCTTTAAAAAAAAGCCAATAAGCAACAAACAGCAAAATGCAGGGACAGTACATGAAGCAGGAAATTGGTGGATCCCCATGAAGAATATGGACTTTTGGTCAGAGAATGAACTAGACTTTTTCTACCATCATATTCACATGAGAAGGACGTGTGACTCACACTCTTGCTCTACAGGAAAGCAACATCTTCCTTAAGACTATGTCATCATGGTCTTAACACCACCAGGTGCCAGTGGCACACGCCTTTAATACCAGCACTCCAGAGGTACAGGCAGGCAGATCCAGCCTGAGCTACAGACTGAGTTCCAGGACAGGCAGGGCTGGACAGAGAAATCCTGTCTTGAAAAACAAAACAAAAAACAACAGCAAAAAAAAAAAAAAAAAAGAATGTTACCACCTCCCACACACATGTGCATGAATCTATTAAACTAAAATGTTGGCAGTATATGAAGACCTTTTATGAGAGCAAATAGCAAACCTTTCTGGGGTAATAGACTTAATCCAGATAAGAGAAAATCCTCACTGGTAAAACTATATCAAAATTAGCCTTCTGTGCCAGAGAAATAGTTAAGAGTGCTCCTTGCTCTTACAGAGCATCAGGGTTCAGTTCCCAGCACCCACCTGGTGGCTTACGGTCGTCTGTATCCCCAGTTCCAGGGGATCTAATGCCCTCTTCTGGACTCTTTAGGCACTGCATGTAAATGGTACACATACGTACCTGCAGACAAACCTCATAAATATAAAATAAAAATAACACAGGAAATTCTTTTTAAAATGAGCCTTTAAATATTATGAAATGTAATTTTAAAATGATTTTTAAAAGTTCAATAAAACAATCTGTGAGTCAGACCCTGAGTTTAATCTAGAGCTAGGGTGGAAAACTGTGATGCTGAAGACATCACCATGAATGATAACAGAAGCATAAATGATGTGCTGTAGGAGTTCAGTGGAGAAAACAAGCTGTCCTATTGAAGGTATGGGAGAAAATGGAACCCAAGGAGGAAAAGGAAAGACTTCTTAAAAAGAACGAAACAACTGAAATGTTATTTTTGTTTAGAAGAATTATCTACTAGAAGAACAGTGATACTGTGTGTTGGGAAAACAGGACCCTGAGAAGCAGGAGACAAAGAAGAGGCATCTCAGCATGCACAGAGGAAAAGCAGGAGACATAGAAGAGAAACTGTCCATGCACAGAGGAAAAGCAAAGGCCTGTACAATAAAAGAACTTCTGGAGGCATCACAATCCCTGACTTCAAACTCTACTACAGAGCTACAGTACTGAAAACAGCCTGGTATAAGGACAGACAGGAGGACCAATGGGACTGAACAGAAGACCCAGATAGCAATCCACACATCTTTGAACACCTGATTTTTGACAAAGAGGCAAAAAATATCTAATGGAAAAAAGAAAGCATATTTAACAAGTGGTGCTGGCATAACTGGATATCAACATGTAGAAGAATGAAATAGACCCATATCTATCACCATGCACAAAACTCAAGTCCAAATGGATCAAAGACCTCAACATTAATCCAATCACACTGAACCTTTGAGAAGAGAAAGTGGGAAATACACTTGAATGCATTGGCACAGGAGACCACTTCCTAAATAGAACCCCCGTAGCACAGACACTGAGAGAAACAATTAATAAATGGGACCTCCTGAAACTGAAAAGCTTCTGTAAAGCAAAGGACATGGTCAACAAGACAAAACGACAGCCTACAGAATGGGAAAAGATCTTCACTAACCCCACATCAGACAGAGGTCTGATCTCCAAAATATACAAAGAACTCAAGAAATTGGACACCAAAAGTTCACATAATCCAATAAAAAAAATGGAGTACAGACCTAAACATAGAACTCTCAACAGAGGAATCTAAAATGGCTGAAAGACAATTAAGGAAATTTCCAACATCTTTAGTTATCAGAGATATGCAAATCAAAACAACTCTGACATTCCATCTTACACCTGTAAGAACGGCCAAAATCAAAAACACTGATGACAACTTATGCTGGAGAGGTGTGGGGAAAAGGGAACACTTCTGCATTGCTGGTG